TTCTGAACAAGTGATAACCAGATAAAGCGACTTCGCGATCGTCTACGCTCGCGGACAGCCACGTTTCAGTTATGGATATAACATCGGGTAAGGTTTGGTCAACGTAGATTTTAAGCTCATCTAATTTAGATAGCAGACTTTACATTAAGTTGAAAATTCGGGATAGGAACAGGTAAAGATCTCCCTGAACTATCCTCTGGCTTATTTGATCTAACCGCAAGGTCAGACCTGAATGGCCAGGCGCGGGAACGGTATAAATTCGATCTAGGTTGAGCAACTTGTGTATTATTCTGAGTGCTAAAAGTCGGTTGTGGTTCTAGAATTGACCGGGCCGACGTTCAGCTCTCATAGATAAAGGCTTCTGACTGAGAAGTAGCAGATTCTGAAGCGCTGAGCCGATAAATCCAGGAACATCCACAACCGTACCTCCACAATCTCTGACGCCGCAAATGACTGGCTCCCCAAGTGAAAATCAACATCAAAATCGATCTCTCGTCACTCGTTCCAAAAGCTACCCGCGTCATGCGACGGGGATTCAACGGGAGAATCACCAAGCACTAGTGCGACCCAAGCTAAAATATACGAGCGCGGCAATTGCCATCTACTAGATCATCTGACAGAGCTCTTTAAGAAGGAATGGGGACAGGGAAAAGTCCCCAAGGAATTTAAGGACGCCAAAATCGTCCGTCCATACAAACGCCAAGTGGACTGTCAACTCAGTGATAAACACAGACGATCTTGCTTCTTAACATTGCTTGTCTGAGCTTCTGTCAACTTGTCCTCAATCGTATTAACGGACACCTCGGGCAAGGACTAATGTCGGAAAGACAATGCGGATTCTACATATACATGCGAATGCGTATAAATAACAGTGGAATGGATACTCCCAGCGCACGAAGCACATTCAGCAAACTCATCTACAAACCGTTCAGGGGCTCAACACTGAAAAGAGCAGAAAAATCACCGAAAAAGAATTTGAGCTCCTCAACTATGCTGCACATACTTACACAGCCATTTACTTAATCGGCCTCATCAGTCTCTTGGAAATCCGTTGCATGGAGATTGGCGAACATGTGCCTGGAGCACGAACATAGGCCAGACCCACTACCTCAACTGCACGCACCACCCTCACACATTCGGCCATTGCATGACCCTCTTCGGCTACTAGCGGATTCATGGAAAAATCATCGCAGACATGACCACATCACCACAAATTCATCCACCGACACATGCACTACGTAGTCAACCCTCCACAATCCCACAACACTGGCGTCTCTCACGAAAAAGTAAGCGTGCTTTTCGACTCCCTTTTCAAAAGATTCATTTGCTGAATGTGAGGTCGGAGCCTGAGACTCTCACGATGCGCCCAGTTCCATGCCCCTGCCCCGTGTAGTTACGTTGTCAGGACTGCCGCCCCGTGCAGTTTGAGTCTCGTGCGGAGTCGATGTCCATATAAGTCTTAGATACAGGCCTGAAGTCGGCCGAAGACCAGGCTGGCTTTGGCGATCGGGCTAGTCGAATTTAATTTTGTGCTGCCTACTCGAAAAGGCGAGGTCCTTGATAAGAACTGCGTCGTCGTTGAACAAGTCCTTATGTTGACGATATGCGCGTCCGATGGCATCCTTGGCGGCGGGGTAGATAGTCCCCATCGTTGACACCACGGAGTCTCCACAGTGGCATTTTACTCTGAAGCTTGCAGGTCTTCCAGACGCTGAGCCAGTTGGCCGCTGAGCACTGCAATGAGCGCTACCAGTCGCCACAGCATCCTGTTTGTCTTCGAAATGATGCCGATCTCATGCTCACTGATGAAAACTTTGGAATCCCAGTTCAATGTTTGCACTGCCGTATTGTTTAGAGGACTGGGACTCAGGGCGAGAAAAGCCAGTTAACAGGAATGGAGTCTTATTTTAAAGACGACTAAACGTATTCAAATAATATGAGAAATTCCATAAGATGTTAGATTCAGTTGTTCTGGAGGTATGCTCAAACCTGCCAGCTGACTTCAGAATGACATCAGAAACTTTGATGTTTATTTGTGTTTATAACTCGACTTTGGCACTCAGAGACAGAGATTTTCCGCTTTTGTCCCATTTTGATTCCGTTGAAACATTTAATTGCACAGTCCCAAATAATATTGCGGTTTTTTCGATAAGGCAAAAGGTTCTTAGCTTGGAGCCTTATTTTTTTACTTGTTCTCGCAGCGAACAAAGATATTCACTTCTAGCTCCGGCCACAAATATGCCAGTAGTAGATTTAATAAAAACGTGCTCGGCTGCCCTTTTCATTGTCGTGCGTTGTATCAGTGGGGATCCTTGGAGAGTGGTATGCTGTTATTCTAGATTGACGGGTCTGGACTCTAGCCATCGCCTTTGACTTCTGAATCCACGTATTCTTGAAACTTTGCCACTTTGAGCAAACCACAAAATTAAGTTTTCGCGTCGCCGCGACGATCATAAAGGCACTGTTTTGAATCTACACTAAAGAGATTGAATGTTCTCCCAACATACAAAGTTTTCACACGCGAAGACGTGGTCGAAAGAAGTTGAAGAGGCTTACAGATTCAAGATTGCAGGCTATCGAGATGAGGCAGAATATAAAGTATGCGTACTTAGACTTTTATCTTGAAGGCCGCAAATCCCAACTTTGACCTAGAAAGATGGCCAGAATCCGGCTTCGTAAAGAAGCTTAGACGGAAAGATGGAAGTTTTTTCTATTACAACAGAGAGCGAGAGTGTCCACAAAGGGACATAATGCGATTAAAACTGTTTGAGCATTGATTTCCTGTCTTAGCTGCTTATGCAGACATTGAACGCCGGTCATGAGTATAGTTAAAAAATAAAGTTAATTTCCCGAGCGCAGGTCTTTTTAAAGGGATAAATTAATAACCTTTCGTTCGTGCAACAAAATTAAAATAATTGATATTGCTAACTAATCTTCAGTTACAAAATGAAAATAAAATTAAGGTTCATAAATTTATAAGTTTCTCTGTAGTGATTACTATGGACAAGCGCACGTACTGCTTACTATGAACGCGGGATTATTGCGAAAGCTAGATCCATTTAATTAAATGGAGCCCGTAATTCATTACACTGTCGCGCGTTTGCCATGGAATAAAGGTGCTTTACTCCGAAGTGAAGACTGCTGGAATATTCCAGCTTCATATGAAGCAGAATATAAGCTGCGCGCACTACTCGACATTAATGGTCCTTTAAAGTTCTGTTCTGGGGCGTTCCCTAAGACACCAATGCATTATAAATGAAATTTCTTTAAATGAAATAAATGCGCAGAAAGACATAGGTGCCTGGATAAGTTCAAACTTGCTTCCCACCGGACATCACAAAACAGCCATCCCAAATCATTATGCACTGGACTAACGTGCCTCGGCAGTCTCCCCTCCCGAACTCTTCGCGAGGATATTTGTCACGTTTGTAAGGCCGCATTTGGAATAAGGAATACTAACACGGATGTCCTGGATGAAGAACGGCAGTGACCCATCAAGCAGATGAAACGACGGGCTGCGAAACTGGCCCCTGCTAGCACCGGTCCCGTCTACCACCCGGGACCTAACGGGACTGGGCTACGGACGCGATAGCCCCGTCTGGCCCCGGGGGCCATCCGCGCGGATGGTCTTAGGATTTTGTTATGTCCAGAAGAACTGATCAAGCAAATTTTGCTTACGCTACCCTATAGACAAATGAGGTGCAGCCCGCTGTGGACATTCCGCATTATCTGCGCACATGGCTGTTCTCTTAAATCTGAAGATTCTGTCGAATTTACAAATGGGAGTCGACTCAGCGGTCATCAGTACAACTTAAAACGCGAATGTACGCGCCTAGACCAACGGAAGGTTTTTCAGTCGGTGAGTAGTTTGGCCGTGCAACTCACTTCAAAGTCAAATAACAGTTCGAATGTCGTGACCGACAATGTCTACCATGTGCTCCATAACAAAGTAAGAGCAGGCACGGTGACTTGTAGGTGATTTCTTTCATAGTGATCTTAGGCTTGTGCTACACCTACCACATCTTATCCTTCTCCAGCTGTATCCGGTGTCAAGAGTAGTCATGACGACCGG